TCACTAGTACCATCTGGGCATAGCACGTCCGTTAACCCAGAGGTTTGATCTCTAATTTTTCTTCCTTTAGTTGTTTCAACTTCTAAGAAGAATCCATAAAGAGGAGCTTTAAGGAATGCCCACTAGTGATAGCCACTGTTAGTTCAGGGGATATTTTTATCCCTTTTGGCCTGGAGAAGTAGCAGCTCTGGATGGAGACCCAGGGCAGAGAGTTGGCCCAGGCTGCAGTGGGTTAATGGAACCAGGGCAGATGATGACAGGAATTCTGTTATTACCAGACACTGGCTTGTTGACCTCTGTGCCTGTAACTCACACCCAGGCGGGGAGACAAAGGGATTTCTGAGTTGTTTTATTCCCCCAAGTTTTCATCATCCCGTGTTAATGACTTGCATTTGTGGTCGGTTGAATCAGAGAGGAAAGAGAGGAGCAAGGGATAGACAAAGGGCTTGGCGACTTTGGCTTTAGGACTCAGGTGAAACCAGCCTCCTGGACCTTAGGTTTCCTACCACACAGGTCAGGGCAAATTTACCTTAGAGCAGCCAAAACCTCAAGTGAGGCCGTGAAGATGTTTAAGCTCAGTTTCTAGGAAACTTGGACTTTAGAAAACCCAAAATGGCTATGTACATAGGTTTAAATTCAGAAAGAGCCACCTTTGCCATCTCCGCTTAGGGTAGGATTTGGAAAGTTCACCCTGCCCCAAAAGTGACTCATGGCAGCCTTAATCCAGCATACAGTACCTCCCTAATGCAGGATTCCCCAAAAATGCTTCATCTAGTTGCTTCACAATTGAATTGGTAAAGCATGATTTAGCATTTGGCAAGTAATCGGTGATACTAGTTCTTAAATAGCGTAGATGGCAAGTGGAGTTATGGGCGAAAGGTTATCTTCTCCCTCCTTCCAAAACTTCAAATGTTAAGTGTCTGCTTTGTAAAAAGCATCCACTAAATGTGAAAGGTTTCCTATAGGTCAGTGGAGTTAATGACAAAGGAGTAAAATTTTGCAGGAGTGATGCTTTTTTTTTTTTTTTTTTTTGTGGCTGATGTTGTTTTATTACATGCGGCATGTTCCAACGCTTACTGGAGTCTTTTACGAGCCAAATCCCATAGCTGCCACCTGTTTTACCCCAGGCACTGGCCTTAAAATTCTAATGCAGACTAGTAGGTGAGTGATCATGTTTATTAATAGAGCTGAAGTCCTGCAGCTCTCAGTTGTGGGTGACCTGGGATGGGGTCAAATAAAACATCCCTAAGTAGCCTTTTCTTCTTCTTCAAATGCTTGAGGATGAAAATAGCAGTACAGTGACAGTGGGACCTCACACTGGGCCACCTCGGCACCTGACAGCTGGTCTTCCTATGCAGTCCCTGCAATCTGCCTCAGACCTTAGCTCTGATAATCCGTGTCTCTCTGCACCTTCTCCTTCAGTCCCCACTCTGGCCTGATTTGTGTATCCTCATCCTCAAACCTAGGGAATCAGCTCTTCTCAGCAGCTTCTTCCAAATCCCACCCTAGCCTCCAGTCTGCTCAGATGTTCTGCTCAGTGACCCCAGATGCCCTCTGACCCCGCCATGCAGGGTAATGCATGCTAAGTAATGCATTTTGTCCCCATGTCTGTGAGCAGGGGTGGGCTCTCTCCTGTTTTAGGATACTTGGATCTTACTGAGGGCCTGGCAGATTGGGACTCTTGGGACCCAAACCAGAGCCATCGACTCTCATTTTGGATACCATTCCAACGTGCCTGATGGCCTGGTTACTTCAGGCACCAGAAAGGCATGGGAAAGGGTGATCCCAAGTGTCCCTTAATAATGGACAGGAGGATGTGAAAGTCCCTCTTTTGGCAGCCACTTTCTGATTCGTGCTTCCTAAATAACTGCTAAGACAGCTTCAAAGCCATATTTTTCTAATAGCTTCGATCTTTCAGATCAGAATAAGGAAACCATGGAGGAAGCACATGTGATCCTTGCTTCTGATGATAAGAGTAATAAACTCAGCAGAGAAACCTTGAGAGGAACTGAAAAGTATGAAGAAATAAATGTCACCCCAGATCCCATAACCCAAAGCTGACATCTTTTACTTTATGGGTTTTATTTTTGGTTCTTTCCATGCATATCTGCATCTTTGGCTTTAACTGAAGTCAGTCTGCACACTCATATTTATAATATTTTTTAAACTGAAAATATCTTCATTAGAGCCACCAGCAGTAGCACCATCAGCTACCATTCATTGCACACTTGCTAGGAGGCAGTGAGGACATGCTTAATAAAATTTCATTTCAACTGATGGCCCCTCATTCACCTCGCCTACCTAGTGATAAGTGGATCTTATTTTCTGAGCAATGGATATTTTTGTCATTTTCCTCATTCTCTGCAGTAATAATATTCAAGTAATTGCTGCCAAATCTTTCCCTGCTCTGCAGCAGACTTTTTAAAATAGGGTAAACGGAAATACAGGTAAATTAAGAGTTTCCTTGCAGCAAAAATCGTGTTGCTAGTTGATAGGCATATTTTTGTTTTTCTTCCTTGTGACATTACTTGAGGTCTTTGGTAGGATAGATCATTCCTTTTTCATTAAATCCTTATTGCATCTTTGAGCTTGTTTGTTTCCCTTTCCTGCCTGCTTCAAGGGTTGATTGTTGCCCCAGGGCTGTGAATTGTACCTTGTGTTCTAGGTGGTGCCAGACAGGAGGTTAGAAATGAGATTGAATGAAAAGACACAGAATGATGGAACTGTATTTTTGCAGTTCTGAAACTTATGACCCCTTCTTGCCTTGCAGGGTGACAGGGAGAGGGCACAGAGTTATGAGTGTTATCTGAGAATCTGCCTCCAAGGCTATAGGTAGATCTGAGATGGAGGAGAATGAGCCAGACCAGAGGGCAGCATTTTCTCCCCCAGAAAGAGTTTTACCCAGAGTCTGACTTTAGACATAAAAAAGATTGTACTAGAAGTGGGTAAAATTTCTTTTGGAATGCCCTTATCTTTTTGATGCCTGCTGCCTTAGAAATCTTTGCCAAGGATGCAAACTGTGGCAGCCTAAGTGTGGCCATTCACCTACTGACCCAGTTGCAGTAATCAGATGTTCAGAGGAAGTGGAGGCTGTGTGGCTGCCCAATCACATTCATGACAAAGGTGAACAGGCTTAGTTAACAAAAATGTATAAGGCTGACCTACTTGCCCAGGGATGCTTTAGAGTGACTATTCCACCTTATTCTTTATCAGGTGCCCTGCAGCTGCCCTTCCAAATGAACACTATGGTAGCTTAAAAACTTCCTGTGCAAATAAATGGAGCTGTGGGAGGTGTCTCCAGCATGTGCTTATCCTCCCCACACCCATCACTAACCTGCTCCTTGCACCTGAGTCCTTCCCACAGAGGAAATACAGGGCAGCCATTGCTCATCAGAACCTGTCCCACCCAGTCCTGCCTCTCCCCTTGTGGGTCACACTCAAATGAGGGCCTCCAGCTTAGTCAGACAGCTCGATAGATTTATATTGTTTCCCATTTGGCTTATGTTGGCCAATCTGAAGAGTTGTGTTGGTGGCCTTTAGTTTGGGGGAATCTTGCCATTCCCGCTTCACTTTTAAATCTGTACTTGTTATTAGTAGAGATAGATATATTTAATAAACACAGAGGATTTTTTCCCTTCTAATTAAGGTATTACTTAAAATAGGGACGAGGAGGTCACAAGTCACACTGCCTTCTGATAGGGATCTGCTTGATTACGCAGTGACACAATGAGAGGTGAGCAGGAGCACGCACATCTCCCTGCCCATTGTTCAGCTGGGAATGTGTGGAAACCTGCTCAGCAAAGTTGGTGGCACTCAGAACCCCAAATAAAGAAGGGCTTGGCATAAACACAGCCTTTGGTAAAATACAGATTTCACATACAGTGACCTTCTACATCCTACCCCCTAAAAAGGGCGTCCCAGTCCGTGAATGGATGGCACTCAACCCTGCTGATTTTGGTCACAGGTCACTTGTTTAGAACCTCCCCCAACCTCACTCACGTGATCAGATGTCACTGCTTTCTCTGCTTTCCTTCTTTTTTTTTTTCTTTACCAGAATGTCTAGATTTGCCTTTTTTGAATAACTTTTTTTTTTTAATACCATGAATTTCTTGCACCGGGCTTTCTATGGGTAGAACAATATGTGCTTTATGTCTATGCTTGTCTCTGTTGGTTCCTCAGTGCTTCATTCAGCACTAGCTCACTAGGAACTTCACAGATGCTCATGAGAGAGGGAGGAGGGAAGAAACCTGTTGATCTTAGAGGTCCTTGAATCAAAACCTTTTACCCCTACATCTCACAGCCACTCTTTAATTGAGATATACACGTTTCTTTTGATAGGCAGTCTAACTTTGCCCAGCACCTGCTATACCGCTTACCTTGTACTTTGGAACTGCACAGCTAACTTTTTAAGAGTCTGTTTCACTGGGGTGGGGGGGGGTGAGAGTCCCTGTAGTAGGAACGGCCCCCTGTTCATTTTACACTCCACTTCTGACTCCTGATCTTCCTATGGACTGAAGGGACTTTCTAAGTGTAGGCTCCTCAGAGACCATAATTAGACCTCTGCTTGGCTGATTTACCTAAAGGGTTTTCCCTTTTCTTTGTTCTCTGCCCACTTATGAGGACCAAAGTGCCTGTTGGATGTCCTTTACTTTCTGTGGTTAACCCGCCATGGTCAGATGAAGGCATTTGTCTTTCAACTTACATCGCTCTGTTCCCTTATGTGGCCTTTAAGGTGCACAGCCACAGCCAGAACCAAGGGCTCCTGATGCCTTCTCTACTTGTTACTGATGGAAATTCAGTGTTGTGCAGAATGACTCGAAGGGGGTCCAGCCGTCACTCCTCCCCTGAGGGATCCAACCACCCAACCCAACCTCTGCTCCCTGACAGCTGTCTGGAGGGTCAATGAATACCTCCCTAGACAGTCTCTCTTCCCCTTGCCACACCCCTAGACAACATGATTGAACTCTAGGCTAAATGCTTCACCTCCTGTTTTAACCCAGGACCGCCTGTTTTTCGTGATGGAGTTTGTGAATGGCGGAGACTTGATGTTCCACATTCAGAAGTCCCGGCGTTTTGATGAGGCACGGGCTCGTTTCTATGCTGCGGAGATCATTTCTGCGCTCATGTTCCTACACGAAAAGGGAATCATCTATCGGTGAGTTTGAGTCGTTGGTTCCCCCTCTCCTGGTTCATTCCCTACCCCATATCCCTGCTTGATTCATCCCTCTATTTCTCAAGATAATCAAGCGAAGTCTTATGGGAATCAAATTCACCAAAGGTCCAAGTGTTCATTCAAATAAGTGAGTAGCATAGTGAAGGACCCTGCCTCCAAACTCAAACTTGGCCCATTCGATATTCACAAAATGGGCCAGAGAGGCTCAGAAGAGATTATTCATGAATTGGTTCAGTGGGGGTTTGCTAAGATCCTGTTACAGCCCAGGCATGTAAGGTGCTGAACACATATTGTCTCTCTCTCTCTTTTTTCATTTGAATATCTGAAGTGAACTGGTTAACATGGATCCATTCTATTTCAAGAAAGCATAAACTGCAGGGCATGGTGGTGTACTCCTGTAATCCCAGCAGCTTGGGAGGCTATGGCAGGAAGATAGCAAGTTCAAAGCCAGCCTCAGTAACTTAGTGAGACCCTGTTTCAAAATAAAAAATAAAAAACAGTTTGGTTCAGTGGTTAAGTGCTCCTGGGTTCAATTACCAGTACCCCCACCACCAAAAAAATGCATAAACTGGACACTGTGGCTAATGTTACTTTAAGTTGCTATAACAACAATCGTAGTCAAAAGGAGTGGATTTGCCAGTCAGTGGCCAAGAGGTGACCTGCTGATGAGCAGTGTCCTATGTGATGATATTTATTACTTGCAGCCCCCTCCCAAATAGGATTAGATTCCATTTCATAACACACGATCTTTTAATCACAACATACCATAATTTGAATGGGCTCAAAATCTGGTTGAAGTTTTTGGAACTTAATGAACTTCAAATGAAAGTTTACTCAAAGAGACGATGGGGAGGGTGAGAAATGTAATAATATTAGACACTTTTTATTCAAATTTCCTTTTTTTTTCTGTTGTTGATATCTTCCTACTCTTTAAGTCACATTGTGACTAAGTTGCCACATATACATTTTTTTTCTTCTTGAGATACAAGTGTTGCTTCCGTTGACAAAAATTTTCTTTCATACTTCATATATGCTGAAATGAAGACTTTCCTGATTGAAATTTCCTATTTATTAGCCTTGCTAAACATTGTTCCTTTTGTGAGCTCACAGAAGTATTGGCAGCATTGTGAAAGAATAAAGAGAGCTTTAAAAACCACGAATATCCTCAAATGCCCTGGGAGTCAAAATAGGGAGAGACCAAGCAGTAAGACTAGTAAAGATGCCAGAGAAAAGTGGGAAAGCAAAGCAGGTATAACAGGTCCTGTGGGACGCAGGGCGCTCAGCCCTTCAGATGTGGCCCCCCCTATCACAGACCACAGACTCTGAAATGGAAAGGGGCGTGGAGCCAGGGTCCAGGCTGGAAAGCAACAGTGGGGGGGGCGGGGTCTGCAGAAGGTCATAAGGGGCCTATGCCCATTCTAAAGTCATGAGGTGGCCATGGTGGCTTTAGGCAGCTTGTGTTTTTAAGCTTTCTTTACTAGGCTGTGGTGCTTCCCTCGTGGCTCCTGTGGAATTTTACCTGTCTCCATGTGATTTGTGGAAGTTGCTGGTGGAAGGAGTCAAGAGTCCTTCCTTCGACATGGTCTCACACCCAGGGCAGTGAGTTCTGCTTCCGTTCACCTCTCCCTGGCTTGTTCATCTATCTCTGCTCTATTTACACCAAAGAGCGCTTCTCCACATTGAATTTTTAAGAATGATGACTTCCCTACCCAACAGAGACTTCTCTGATAAATCAAAATAATAACATGATCAACAAAAGCTCCACTAGACACTCGTTACCATTACCAATACTTTACCACTGTATCTCCCACAATGCTCCCAACAACATTATTATATAACAACATCACTCACTTTGTTTAGATGAATAATTGAGTCTTAGGAAGGCTTGATTAATAATTAGGCAATGAACTGGTAGTGAAACCAGAATTTATAGCGCATTTCTAACCATTGGGCTACGCGGTCTCCTCAGGAGTGACATGGAGATTGAGGACACACTAGACAGCTGGTTTCTGATTCCCCTTTCAGCAATAGGACAACTTGAATTCATGAAAATACTGCAGACTGGGGATGAACAGTATGGGGTAAACTCAAGTTTTCTTGGATACTCAGAGGCTTAACCTAAGTAAGCTCTGTATTGTATTGCTGAAGGCAACAAGATTTTTTTCCCATGTTGGACATGTCTACCTCCGTTTCATTTGTCTTGAAATACAGATCACAGACATTGTAACTGATGCAGTTTCTGGTGAAGCAGTATCAGCTTGCATCTTGAAGTTTTATTTCGATTCGTGGTACCTGTGGCTCAATTCTGAGAATTGATTTTAATTTACTTTTGGACTTGATTCCCAGGTTCAGGCTTTAGCTAATATGACTGACTTTGAAGCGAGCGCATTTAATTAGGTTAGATTCGAATGCTATTTTTGTCCTGTGGATTTATTTCACAGGATAATTTAATTCCATTCAGGCTATTGGCTGGGAGCAGTGTCTTAAGGGTAAAGTCTTTGAAAGCCAAGTCCTTGGAATTCACACACAGTCAAGGGTACATTTGGGTCACAGAGGAATCAAATTTGATACAGGAACCCAGTGAGAAACTTGAGAGCATCAGACATCCTCGCTTATCATGGGTGTCCCAAGACAGCCTTGATCAGAGCCAAAATGATCTCTCCAGAAGATGCCTCTGACCTACCCAAAGAGAGTTGTTACGGATTTGTTCTGAAGTTTTCTTCTGGGGAAAGAGGAAGTGTTTATTTTCCATCAAGTAACAAGATAGTACCAATTATAAATCATTGTCAAAAGGAACCTTGGAAGGTAGCACCTTAGGCTCCTCCTGACATGAATTTCCCTTTTGGTTGACTTCACCTGTGAGGGTGGGTCACAGGCCACTCCCACTTACGTACTTGTCAGCTTGTGCTACAATCCTCTCTCTTGGATGCATTACCTTGTATTTTATGGAGATACACAGGAGATGGATCCATCCCTTTGCCTTTTGGTTGGAAAGTCTAGATCCTTCCACTGCCCAGAAACCAAGGAGAATTGGGCTAGAAAGCCAGCAGCCAGAGAGTCAGCTTTGTCCAGGGAAAATAGACCGCTCATTCCTGCATGCTGGGCTTCTTGGCAGACTGGGAGCCCAGACAGTGCTCACGAATAATTTCCTCATGGTACAGGCTTTTTTTCCAGAGTCAAGCCCTAACATAAAATTTAGGGGGACAAAGGGGCATCCAGCCCACTTTCAAGCATGACAGGCACCATTTTCAACCATGTTTCATAAACTATATTGAAGCAGAATTCTGCCACAGCTGACCAATTAATCTCCAGACTCCTAAGCTGACCAGCACAAGTTTCATTTGCTATTTCTGACAGAGTGTGGAATGCATCTGAAAAATGTTGGGTGAGGAGGTTTATAGAGGGTGTAGTTAAAATTTTGTCTCTTATTTACCACATTATACTTAAACACACAGCACGTCTCCACACACACTTTCCAGGCATGAGTCTGACCACTTGGCAGGCCACGTGTGTGGTAACCAAGCTCCAGGCCACTTCTGTGGTATTTCACTGTCCCATTTTCCAGATGTGGAGAGGAAGCTTTTACCCCACAGAGGTCAGCTGCCAGACCTGACTCATTGTCTTCTATTCTGATGCTTACGTAGCATGCTAACTCTTTTAGAGAAAAATCACCATTGGTTTCTCTTCAAAGTGAGAGAAAAATCTTTACCTCATTTGACCTTTTTCTTTTTTTTTTTTTTTTTTGTAAATTTAGAATTTGGGAAGATTAACAGTATCCCTTGCAGATAAGTTTTGTTCAGCTAGACTCCAACATAGTGGTTGGATCTGTGTGCATATACCAGGGTCTAATATTAACTATGTGAGTGGTACAAGGGGCCACAAGGCCGTACAATTACCTGAGTAATCTGAACTTATCTGGGTATCTCTCTGCCTAGTGAACCCCTGGCAAGATTGCCTCTCTGAGCCTTACTCCCTTGGCTAAGAATTAATAAGTGTTATGTTTCCAAATCTATTTATGTTAGACTTTTTTTTTTCAATGCCTGAATCATTGCTCTCTGCAGTTCCCCCTTTATGGAAGATTGAGGCAACATCCCTGTGATTCCCATCTTCTGGGACCTCTCTTATTCCTTAGTATGTTTCATCAGCAGATTTTCAAACTCCCCAAACGTCTTTCATTTGAACATGGAATTTGGGGATCTTACTGTTACTTCCCCTCTATTAGAATTTGATACCATCTTTATGTTTTTTCTATTCATGCTAGTGAGAACAATATTTTTAAGTAGAGATGATAGTCAAATTTAGTAGCTCTTGCCCAGTGCAGTGGTGCACACCTATAATCTCAGCTGTCTGGGAGGCTAAAACAGGAGGATTGCAAGTTCAAGGCCAGCCTTAGCAACTTAGTGAGACCCTTTCTTCAAAATAATAAAAAGGACTGGGACGTAGTTCTATGGTAGAACACCCTTGGGTTCAATTCCCAGTGCTGCAGGAAAAAAAAAAATGGTATCTCTATTTTCATTGTCCTCTAATAACATCATTCTTTCTACTCTAAGAAGTAGGTCTATTCTTTTTTGATCTATATAACTATAAAGACAGCTGTAAATGATCATTTGTTATTTTTATTGTCTTGTTTATTCAGGATGTGCCAGCAATGCGAATGCTCAGAACATGAGTAATTTTCACATCAGGTTTTGGCTGTGAGCTCTCCCAGGATGGATGCTGGAACTCTGAACTTCTTAGTCACATTCTTGTCTCCTTTCTTGTTAACAACCCATGCTGTGCTTTGCCAGTGATGGCCTCATTCAGTAACTACTCTCCCACTGTCACCAGAAAGCTGTCACCATCCCTGGCTCATTTTTCAAAGATGTGATAGAGCTCAGAGGTTTCCAGCCTGTTAGAATCATTTGACATTCCTCCCAAATGTAGTCTTCTCCTTTCCTGCAAGGAAACTCAGCCCTTTCTCTTCCTTTGCCCAGCCCTTGAGG